TCCTCAATTCCACAACCTCCTTCACCACTCCATCAAATTTTTCACCCGTCACCATCTTAAGATCACCCCTTAACACCTCAACTTCTTTCACCACTTCACCCCTTAACATCTCAACTTCTTTCACCACTTCACCCCTCAACACCTCTACTTCTTTCACAACTCCATCTATTTTTCCTTCCACTTCCCCCTTATGCCTCTCAAGTGTATCTTCGACTCTCTCAAGTTTCTCTTCGACTCTTGATTATCTTTGCATTATATCAAATTGGATTTTTTTGATATCAGCCAATTCAGACATCAAAATGTCGAAGTTACTCTGTTTTCCCTCACCGTCATCCCCCAATACAACCATCTCTTCTTTATTCTCCTCTGCCTCTTTTACCTCATTGCCAATAACCTTCAAAATTAAATTACAATATTAAGACATTGATTATATTCTTAATATTATTTAATTACATATATTACCCTTTCTTACTTCCTCAATCTATCCAACTTCAACTTCGCCATCACTCTAACCACCTCTTCCTTCCCCTATGCACGGATGCGTGCCACTCCGGTTCTTTCATAAGTCGGCACTGCCTCACAGCCCGACCAAAAATCGAACAGTGCAACCTGAGTTTATAATAAAATTTATAATTTTATATAATAATTATACTATCATTTTATATAAAAACACAAAAAAGTTCTGCAACTCATTTACCTCTAAGATTGCTATGCACCATTTGAGGTATCTCTGGTTGCCCTTTTTAAAGGTGATTTTGATTCAATCAATCTCGAATGAACATATTCAGCCCAATTGAATTCACCATTCAAGCCTTCATCGCAAATGAGCTTCATATAGTCCTTGTTCGTTGACGTATCACCCATTGGACAAAGAAAGATACCGACAAGGTACAATAGAACTCTGGCCTTCAACTCATCCCCCCGTAAGATCCACTTTTGATTTCCTCTTCAATTCAACATATGTCTCCTTTTGCTTCAAACCATATTTGGAGGCAAGTGCTTTCAAGTCCTTACTCTTACAGACTTCTACAACACTTTTGCCTTCATTTTCTACCCCCAATACGGCTGCAGCACATGGGATCCCAATAGGAAATGAAAAATCACCATACTTAGTAATACATTGTTTGATATCAAATTGTGCCATCAAAGATCGACACAATTCCCTCCAAATAGGTCGATCTCTTACTCCTACCAACGATACAAAACCTATTTCTCCCAGCACATTCAACTGACCATTCTCCTTAAGGTGTTTAATTAATGAATTCACCATTTTAATGCTGCACCTTGTCGACACTTCCTACATTTTTTAACAATATATAATGTTATAGTTCTTATATATTTTGTATCAACGTATTTACAAGTTTAATGAATACCTTATTTTCATGTGCTTTCCTACGTTCTTTGTATTCTTTACTATCATTCATTGACTGTGTGATGTAAGGTTCCTTTTCAACATCACTCATCGAATTCCATTTGGACCTCACATCTTTTGTCACCTAATATTAAGCATCAACGTTTCTTAATCAATACATTAATACTAAATAATACTTAATGTCAATTTCATTTTACATACCGAACTGCTCTGTGTGACATCTTCCTTCATCCTTTTGCATTCGGCCATACTGTCAATATTTAAAATTTGTAATCAATTTAAAGTTCTTAAATACTTTAATCCAATTACTATTTCAACAATAATAACAAAAAGACATTGATACTTACTAGAAGTACATATATCTATCCTTTGGTTGCTTTCGAGTCTCGGCCTCAATTTCAAAGTCATCTGCGCCACCAACAATTTTTCCACCCATTGACTCCATTTTTCCTTCATATATTAGTTTACTCAAATCAAATCAAATACTTGTTAAATACACTTTATTTAATATACAAATATAGATAATTACTCTTGTGGTAAAACGGTTTTCTTCAAAAGAATTTGAATGGCCATTACAAAGTGTGTCGGCACATTTATACAACCTATAATATCATTTTCTACTTATAATATTTAATAAAAGTATCGACATTTATATTTTACCTTGAATATCACTTTCTACCTGTAATCGGTCTCAAATGCTTCTTTACTCCAAAACCCCAAACAACACATAAAAACTCTATTTGCGATTACTGTAATAATTAAAAACTAGGGTTTCGACAACATACTTTTCGATTCGACTGCAGCAACAAACAAACAAACTTCGCTTTAGAAACGCCTTCTGAAATGCAGCAACAATTACGCTTCGATTTCAAAAACTCGTCCGTTCTATCTATTTTCAGAGGATATTTAGCTATGGCCTTTATATTTTCATCGAATATGTTATTTATATTTAATCGATACAACTACCAAAGCGTCGATACTTTTATGTCAGGTGTCGATACTTTCGATAGGATAATTTCCTATTTCTCTGAAATTATCGATAATTTATTACACGTACTTATGAAAGTATCGACACTTTCAATATATTCGATAGCGCTTTATCGATTTTATCATTTTGATACCGGTTTTATCATATTTTTACCTGTTATATCGTTGTGTATCGATACATTTTTATAAAGTATCGACACTTTATAAGCGCTAAAACTGCTTCTCTTTTAAATTCACAAAGTGTCGATACTTATATTAAAGTACTAACACTTTAAATATATTTGGTAGCTCTTTACCGATTTTATCATTTCGATATCGGTTTTGTCATATTTTTACTTGTTATATAGTTGTTGATCGATACATTTTTATAAAGTATCGACACTTTATAGGCGTTAAAACTGCTTCTCTTTTAAATTCACAAAGTGTCGATCCTTATATTAAAGTATCGACACGTTCAATATATCCGGTAAGGATTTACCGGTATTGTCTTTTCGTGACCGGTTTTATCGATATTTTTACATGTTATATTGATATGGATCGATACATTTTTAATTTGGATCGACACAAACCGACAAGTTAAATTTACCCGTTGCCAAATTTTTTAATATTTCTTCATGACTTATACCTACTACATTATTATTATTCAACATTTCTGATAACGCTAAACCAAATTTATTAAATATCTTTTAATATATTCGGTAACACCATATATTAATCATATATTAACCTACTCCTGAGACATTCCTTAATTGGGGAGCTTAGTGAGCCGCTGAGTTACGAGTTTCCACAAACTCATCAAAGTACATGATTCTGTTTGTACCAAATTGAGTCCCGCATCCTATAAAGTAATAATTGCGTGATAGAAAGCCCTACTGTTTTGGATTCATTCATTTCAATCATCCAATCCACTTTTTTGGCAACTCCCTTTGAGTTACATTGCATACCATACACATCTTTTTTACCACGTGATTTTTGTCCAAGGTTGATCTCATGTATTATTTCAGGTTTATGTTCTTATGTACGGTTGTGCCCTTCTTTTCTTGTCTGTAACAATTTAAAATTTAATATATATATATATATATATATATATATATATATATATATATATGTATATATATTTATTAAAAGCTGATAAATATTATACTTATATCATGTTCGCGTTCGTATATTTTTTTGTTTAATTTGGTTTGTCTCAACTGGAGCAGCTATGAATTTTCATGAACACTGGAAAATTGTAAATAAAAAGAATGAAGATTAGATTACTTGAAAAAACTGTTTGCCCTAACCTAACTGGCGTTTCCATTTTCTTATTGTTAGGAAGTGATTACAAATGCCAATATACACAGGAAAGAATGCATTATTATTCATCTCAGTTGATATATTACATTTATAAGAAAAGGTTAGGCTCATCAGCTCCCATTAACCGTCTAATAAACTAACAGTCATAGCTAACCAAACATAACCGCCTCCTCATGCACGTGTTTTACAGCAGTCTAACATTCCCCCTACTCTTCCTTTTCTCCTCTTGACAACAACCTAACATTCCCTCTACTTTTCTTCTTCTGTTCTTCTGACCTTGAACATATTATTACAGCAAGTTCTAAAAACTAATTACAACTAATTTCTAACATTCAACCTTCTTGATGAAAAAATGAACAATTGAATCGAAAGTGTTGATGCTTCCTTCCGTTCACTTGAATCGAAAGTGCCGATGCTTCCTTTCGTTCTTCTTGAATCGAAAGTGTCGATGCTTCCTTTTGTTCACTTGAATCGAAAGTGCCGATGCTTACTTTCGTTCTTCTTATTCACCTTCATTTCTTTCTTCTTCATCCTCTTTTACGAGGTTCCTTGACATATATTTTTTCCTTGGACACTTGGTTGTGCAGCTTTCAAGTCTCATGACACCTTGGAAATCCACATCTGCTGGAAGGTGCTAAGTGATGCCACATGCCATGATTCTCATTTCTTTTAGCTTCAGCAGAAATGTTACGCTGAGTTGGATCATGGAAATGCATAACTCCAATATTCCAAGGAGTTGATGCTGTTGTTGACACATGTATATAAACTAAATATATCAATGGGTTGTTTACGATAAAAAATGATTACACTAATTTATTCTAGCCAGTGTTAGGAAGTGACTACAAATGCCAATATACACATGAAAGAATGCATTATTATTCATCTCAGTTGACAGCCTCCTCATAACCGAACATAACCGCCTCCTCATGCACGTGTTTTACAGCAGTCTAACATTCCCCCTACTCTTCCTTTTCTCCTCTTGACAACAACCTAACATTCCCTCTACTTTTCTTCTTCTGTTCTTCTGACCTTGAACATATTATTACAGCAAGTTCTAAAAACTAATTACAACTAATTTCTAACATTCAACCTTCTTGATGAAAAAATGAACAATTGAATCGAAAGTGTTGATGCTTCCTTCCGTTCACTTGAATCGAAAGTGCCGATGCTTCCTTTCGTTCTTCTTGAATCGAAAGTGTCGATGCTTCCTTTTGTTCACTTGAATCGAAAGTGCCGATGCTTACTTTCGTTCTTCTTATTCACCTTCATTCTTTCTTCTTCATCCTCTTTTACGAGGTTCCTTGACATATATTTTTTCCTTGGACACTTGGTTGTGCAGCTTTCAAGTCCCATGACACCTTGGAAATCCACATCTGCTGGAAGGTGCTAAGTGCATAACTCCAATATTCCAAGGAGTTGATGCTGTTGTTGACATATGTAGAGCAGGATTTTCAGCGGGCGGTCGAGGCATTTTGTTCTTAGTTGCATTCGGTTGAGCTAGAGCCAGTGGAATTGGAGCAACAAAGGGTTCTATCTCCCATGGTGAAACCCTATCAGGCCTCTGAATAGAGGTAGGCTCATCCCATTGTACCTTCAATGAACGCCATTTTGAATCTTTCCAGTGAGGAGAAAAGTCTTCAACTCCAACAATTGTTCCAGAAAACCTTCTCTCATGAGAATCTTCCCCTTCACATCTTATCTTAAATCTCATGCCAACTGCAAACTTACTATTAAGGGCATCTAAATATTTGTCCAACCCAATGATGAACTGACTTGTCCTTGGCTTATAGTAGACAACAAAGAGGGACTGAGTTGAAGCAGCATGAGATGTAGTTGCAAGCACTCCTAAGTGCATATTCTGACTTGATATCACTGACGACGTCATGTTGCTCTGTTGGCGAACTACACACCTAACTCCGACACGAAGCTCCCCATTCTCTCCTCTTAGGAACACAAAGGAATCACCAGCGACTAATCGCTTTGAAGTTACAAATGTACTCCATCCTGTTGTCAACAAATGCCTCCTTGGTTGGCCTCTGAATATATGCTTAAAGCGCCACTCATAACCATGAAGATCCTTTGCAACCAATTCCTGGGTTGGCGTTGCCTGGTTCATGTCCAGTGGAGGAAGGCATTCAGTGGCATGTTTTCGAACAGAAAACCCTCCATGGGTGCTTGTATCTGAGGCTGTTAAAACCTTGCAGAATGAGTGGACGGTAGGTCTTTGAGGCTCAAGAGTGCATTCATCAGGAGTTGTTGGCTCAGGTTGATTCGGTTCCGGCATATAAGTTCCATAACTCGATATACAGATCATCCCTTCCATTTCCTTCAGAGGATACATTATTTTTCTGCGAAAACACTCCGACTCTATTCACCATTGAACTCTATCTAACTCACCGAGTCAAGAAACAGTAATAGTAGCAGAGCAGCAACCATTCTGTTGACTATATTCCAAAACACTTGAGGAAGCAATATGAATTGAACTGGTCTGAGTGGCTCGGTCAGGCAATTCAACAAACAGATTATAAGCGCAAGCGGAAAAAAATATTCACACAGCAAGCATAAACCAATCTGAGCAACACAGCATTAACGACGATGACAGAACATCCGAAACAACGATTTAGAGTAGTGAGATTCAAACTAACAAACCATTGAAGTTGATAAAGAAAGAGGAAATCGACAATTGAGAAGAACAACGAAGATCCATATTCAGATCAGCAACCACATCCGTTAATCAAATAGAAACACCATACCAGAACTACTGAGAAACCACCGTCTACGCCAACAAGCACGATGAACTAACAAGAACGCCCTGAGTTACGCAGCAAGAAAACAGGAGACTCCAGGAACTTATGGCGATTGATACCATGTTAGGAAGTGATTACAAATGCCAATATACACAGGAAAGAATGCATTATTATTCATCTCAGTTGATATATTACATTTATAAGAAAAGGTTAGGCTCATCAGCTCCCATTAACCGTCTAATAAACTAACAGTCATAGCTAACCAAACATAACCGCCTCCTCATGCACGTGTTTTACAGCAGTCTAACATTCCCCCCACTCTTCCTTTTCTCCTCTTGACAACAACCTAACACTTATTGATGTTTGTTCGCCATCAACTGTACAAAAAAGAATTCTATTTCCAAAACTACTTCCCCTTTTCTTTTGTTTTCCATGTGTGACTACACTTGTCTCCTCTTTCGTGCTATTGTTTTTGCCGTGTGCTCCTTAGCTTAACCGGTGAGAACAGCGCGGTGAGCCGTGCATGATCGGATAGATGGTAGTTTCAGGTCATATCCCCTTTTCCACTTCACGGGGGAAAAGCATCGCATTCTTCACCGCAAAACCGATGGCTTCCTTCGAGTCCTCCGAGTTGCTAACTTCATCCTTATGTACTAAACAAATAGAGTTCCAAATTCTCTACAGCAACAATGTCAACCAATTATAATCAACCCTTTTATTCTATGGAGTTGAGCATTAAGATTCAATGAAAGACAGTTCAATGGCACATCGAGCGATTTATAGGCCATAGTACATAAATCTGTAACTAGGACAAGCATTTAGGGATGTACACGAACCTTAAATTCTTCATAGTCAAGAACGCCATTTCCATCGAGGTCTGCTTGGACCCAAAGCTCTTTCATCTCCTGGAAACTTAGTCCATATGGAAGACCGGTTAAATTTAGCTGTAGATGGTTAGGAAAAGGTGAGAATTTTCTTTTTATCACTCCCATTCGAATAATTGTTCCAAGGAAGTAAATGGAAAGTACCTGTTTAAGTGCATCGCAGAAAGCCGAATACGTTATGTAGTTGCCATTGTCGCCGCCCCTTAAAAAGTTAAAGGCATCTTTTTTATCCAATGAAGCCTTTTGAAGTTGATACTAGAACCATGAAAATGGAAATTAAATTTTAAATGTCAATATGATAATATGACCTAGAAAGACTACATTCAGAACAACAATATAGTATGGAACTGCTGAACTAACCTTTATTATACCGAAATCTGCTTCAGCCCAACTTATCTTCAATGGTTTTATTATACCGTACATAAGAATTAATCCGAGGAACCAATAATACAGATTATCCCAAATGTATTCTCCACCTTTGGTATCAATGTATCATAGCAAATCAGGTGACATGTAATTACCTTGTGAACCCACTCGAATTCTCCACCTTTGGTATCAAATGTTCCATGCTGGAGACTCACCAACTTTAGTGTAAACCGGGGACCACACTCCTGCAAGTTTCAAAGAAATCATTCCCGGCCAAGTAAACAGTTTATATAAGTGCAACTGCTATATTATCGACAATCCAAAACAATGTAAGGGTGGTAGAGAGTCAGAGATATTTCTAGAAGAGAAGTTCACTCAAATGATGGATGATAATCCTATAAAAAGGGTAAAAGGGTATCCATAAACAATTAATAAGAGAAATAGAGAAGCAAGCAGACCTGAAGACGAGCAATTACTTTTTCTATACTGATGGTCTCACCCTTGGTATCTTTAGACTTTTTGTCTTTTTAGTCACTCTGTTTGGTCTCCTTGGTTTCAAATATATACCCGATTGCACAAATAGACATTGTGTCACAAAATTATACAATCATCATTTACAGAACATGCAATTCAGAGGCTAGAAGGCCAACCTATGCTGTCGGAAGAAAATGAAATCTCGTTGATTGTGAAATGTTACAACTCGCCGATTGCGAAAATTAGGAGATTGTGGAAAAAGTGACTGAATTAGCCTAGACATACATATCAACACAAAACAAAAACTTAGATAGAAAATCCCAAGGAAGGAGAAGATATGATTGGAAAGGAAAGACAAATATTTCACACAAGAAAGTATTTTAGTTTCCACCCGATAAGACAATAAAGGGAATGTGGAAGTTCAAGCGAGTTCAAACATTAGAAATAGTAATAGCCTATAAAAGAGACCGATATGCAACCTGCCAATGCGATGGCCCAGGCGTGTTGTGAAGTTATTTAACACTAGCTCAGGCTTATGACTGGTAGGATTTCCATGATTCTACAAGAGCAAAATCACGGCAATTAGAATAATTATTATAGTAAAAAAAACTCCATTCTAAGAAATCCAACATTTTTTACATGAAAATCCAGGTCCATTCCATAAAACAGAAAATAAAGGATATCTTCCACAAAGTACAAAGAATCAATGCGTTACCTTTATATCCTTCCTCAAAACCAAACTGGAAAGCTTGAAATGCGCAGTAGGCCCATAAGGCAACCCAATAACTAGAAGAGCATCTACAGATCCACACCAACTAGTCAGCTATATTTCTCATGAAGTCACCATATCAAATAAAGTCCAATGGCACAATCCGAATAACAAAATTGCGAAAAAATTCTAATCGCAAACCTGTTCTCTTCTGTTGGTGTGAACTACCATAATAGATGTGAATTCCTTGTTATTCGCATATTCCACGATCTGCAATAACATGAATATATAACTTTCATAAAATGACCTAAACTAAATGCTCCTTACTAACCTGATTTCCTAATGTCAACATATAACAGAATAATTCAAGAAAAGTATCAAGAGAATTACCTTTTTTAAATCGTATGTTCCTCTTTTAAAGTAATGAGCATTTGGGATCACCGAAAGCAATTCGTTATAAAAGCAGCCCCCCTATGATAACATATTATCCAGAATATTTATCAAGACAAAAAAAAACTCATCTAAAATAAGTTTTATATCAATGCATAGTTTAATCATTAGTGAGAAATAAGTAACATAGAAGAGCATACAGTGGAATTGAAACGGCAAGTTGAGACTAATATCTTTGGTGTACGATCTCGCACTAAACTCATCAGCGTCATTACCAGCAAACAACTGGAGAGATAGAAAATATTATTTATTTCCAGATTTCAACATTTTATATATTATAAGACAGGAATTTTCCGAGAAAACAAAACCAATAATTTACCTCTTCAACATCAGGCATGCAAACAGTCTCGTCAGCCTCTCTCCTATTTTCAATAGTGCGAGGAATTTGCTTCTGTGGAGGCTGCAATAATAATACTAACAATTTCAGAAACAGTTTGCTCCATTAAAACATAGAAAAATAGAAGAGGAAACCTCTTCTCCAAGTTCAATAGCGCGCTTTGCGGCGGAATCACCAGCTTTAAGCTTTTTGCGTTTCTCGAGCTTCTTTTGGTGCTTGAGTTTGGCGTGTACAGCTGATCTCTTCTCCTTGTTTTTAATGGAGGAAGGAAGTATCTCGCGCTTACTGTTTTGAATATCCTCATCTCCTTCCATCCCTTCGTTTTCAGCATTCTTTCTATTTCCGCCCATTCTTACGTCTTCGTTGTCGCAAACAACACTGATTCGCACAAAAAGATAAGTGAGGGAAGAAAGGCGGCAAAGGGTATCTAGGGTTTTTGGTCTTCAATCTTTTGGTTTGTTTTTCCTTCAACTTCTGGTTATGAAGTATGAAGTACTGATAGTTGATAAGGCACAATAATAGTCATGGGTAAGTCCATTTTACATTGAATTCGAAAAATGTTTTTTTAGGTTAAAAGTATTTTTAGTTTTCAATAAAAAATATTCGATATCAAATTTAAAATAAAATCTATAATTCTAGTCTCCATTTTTCATTTTTTTCATTATATTATATTTATTTTATAATTTATAAATTTTATTAAAAGTAATTATACATTTAATAAATTATTTTTAAATTTTGAAATTTAAAATTATACATTTTATTATATCAATTTAATTTTATATCGTCAGATAAATATTGATATTATATATTACTGGTGTTTTTACTCAAATATCATCTAATAAAAAATATTTATTATTTTCACATTAAAAAATGATTGTTTTCAGAATTAATACAATCAAATCTTCATTCCTTTTTATTTTAATTTTAGGTTTTTTAAATTAAATTGTTAATAATATTAATATTTATATATTGCTTTTTAAAAAAACATAATATAAGGCCTTATGTATTTAATATTCAGGTTTGAACTCAAGTTTGAACTTCAATCAAGTTAAGAATAAGAATATTTTGAGTTCAAGTTTTTTTTTAGCTTGAGTCGAGCTTTCATATTTTATTTTGATTAGAGTTTAAAAGTTTTAAGTTCACGAGCTTTCAGGTTGAGTTGAATTTTAATTTTTTATTTCGAGTTCGAGTCGAGATTGAAAATTTTATGCTCGTAAATTTCGAGTCAAATTGAACTCAATTTTATATCTTTTAGGTTGAATCAAATCAAACTCGACTCAACTTATTATAATCCTAATAGAAAGCAACAAAGGAAGAAAACATATTAAGAAAAAAAGGAAAATTGAAATCTTATTCTAAATTACTTTGGGTATGCAAAACTACAAAAGGACTTTAATTAATATTAAAGTTTAGAGGTTAAAATAAAACTTAAATTATTTCACTAATGTGTTATATCATCAAAGATCAAAATTTAAGAAAACAATATAAATAATTAAAACTTAAGTTTTTCGATTTTGATGAATCAAAATTACAAATATAAAACGTACCAGTACCGTTTTGGCAGTTTACCCTTAAAATTGTTAAATATTTATAGTGTGAGCCGGAATGTGCAATTTCTTACTATGTCATTGTAATTGTTTCCTCAATCCGATATTGCAATTTCAATCTCTGCGCTATGCCATGCGCCATGGAAGAACCATCGTTTCTTCACTCTCCTCTCCTCTCCTCAAAAACCCTTCAATCCATTTGGGCAACATCCTTCTTCTCGCATCTCTCACTAAAACCCTATCGGAGTCTGGAACACGAAACCTCGATCCAAACTCCATCCCCCTATCCGAGCCTCTGCTCCTCCAAATCCTCCGCAAAAATTCCCTTGAAGCCTCAAAGAAGCTCGACTTCTTTAACTGGTGTCGCTCTCTCAAGCCAAACTTCAAACACTCGGCCGTCACTTACTCCCACATTTTCCGGATCCTTTGTCGATCTGGGTTCGTCGAGGAAGTCCCTAATTTGCTCTTCTCGATGAAGGAAGATGGTGTTGTTGTTGACTCTAATACCTTCAAAGTCTTGCTTGATGCTTTTATTCAGTCCGGTAAGTTCGACACCGCCCTTGAAATTCTTGATTATATGGAAGAATTCGGTGCTTGCTTGAATGCTAGTGTTTATGATTCGGTTCTCGTGGCTTTATGTAGAAAAGGCCAACTTGGTTTGGCTTTATCTATATTTTGTAAGCTTTTAGAAGCTTCTAATGGGAATGATAATGGGGATTCCATTGTTTGTTCACTTCCTGGCTCCTTTGCAATTAACGAGTTGCTTGTTGCTCTCAGAAAAGCTGATAGGAGAGCAGAATTCAAACAAGTTTTTAATAAATTGAGAGAGAAAAAGGAGTTTGAATTAGATACATGTGGTTATAATATATGCATTCATGCTTTTGGGTGTTGGGGTGATTTGGCTGCTTCTTTGAGCCTCTTCAAAGAGATGAAATTAAAAGAAAAGAGTTTGAATTCCGGTTCATTTGGTCCTGATTTGTGTACCTATAACAGTCTCATTCACGTGCTTTGTTCGGTTGGCAAGGTGAAAGATGCTTTAGTTGTGTGGGAGGAATTAAAAGTGTCTGGTCATGAGCCGGATGAGTTTACTTACAGAATTCTTATACAAGGGTGTTCAAAATCATACAGAATCAACAATGCAATGGAAATTTTTAGTGAGATGCAGTATAATGGGTTTGCTCCTGATACGGTTGTGTATAATTCTCTTCTAAGTGGATTATTCAAGGCCCGGAAGCTGATGGAAGCATGCCAGCTATTTGAGAAAATGGTTCAGGATGGTGTAAAGGCCTCGTGTTGGACTTACAATGTTCTGATAGATGGTTTGTTTAGGAATGGCAGGGCCGAAGCTGCTTATACCCTGTTTTGTGATTTGAAGAAGAAGGGACAATTTGTTGATGGTGTCTCTTACAGCATTGTCGTGTTGCAGCTTTGTAGAGAAGGTCAGCTTGAGGAGGCACTACAATTGGTGGAAGAGATGGAAGCCAGAGGCTTTCTTGTCGATTTAGTTACTATAACATCACTCTTGGTGGGATTTTATAAGCAAGGTAGGTGGGATTGGACGGAGAGGTTGATGAAGCACATTCACGGTGGCCATCTAGTTCCAAATGTTCTCAAGTGGAAAGCCAATATGGAGACTTTAATGAAAAATCCACCTAAAAATAGAAAGGATTACACTTATCTGTTCCCATCAAGAGGGGATTTTACTGTGATGGGGAGTTATGCTGGCCAAGCAATGGGCAGTAATGTTGATTCTGAAGATTGTGATGAGAAGGATCAGGAGATGTCATTCATTGAAAGTGATCAGTGGTCATCGTCCCCATATATGGATCAATTAGCTAATCAAGCAACTGAACATTCTTCTTGGTTGTTTTCACTGAGAAGGGGGCAAAGAGTTAAAGAAAAGGGGATTGGTTATTTTGATGTTGATATGGTGAATACTTTCTTATCTATATTTTTGGCCAAGGGAAAACTGAGTTTAGCCTGCAAGTTGTTTGAAGTATTCACCGATATGGGTGTGAATCCTGTTAGTTACACATACAACTCCATTATGAGTTCATTTGTCAAGAAGGGATATATCAATGAAGCTTGGAGTGTCCTGAATGAAATGGATGAGAAAGTGTGCCCCGCAGACATAGCTACCTACAATCTTATAATTCAAGGCCTGGGGAAGACTGGAAGAGCGGACATCGCAAATTCAGTTCTAGAGAAACTAATGAAGCAGGGTGGTTATCTTGACATAGTTATGTACAACACCCTGATCAATGCACTGGGAAAGGCTGGTTACATCGATGAAGCTAGCAGACTCTTTGAACAGATGAGGTCTAGTGGGATAAACCCTGATGTTATCACTTACAATACACTTATTGAAGTTCACACCAAGGCTGGTCAGTTAAAGGACGCATACAGATTTTTGAAAATGATGTTGGATGCAGGCTGTTCACCGAATCATGTTACGGATACCATTTTGGATAATCTAGGAAAGGAAATTGAGAAACTGAGGCTGCAAAAGGCATCTATTGTGCACGATAATAACAATGGGGATGATACCTAAAGAGTTATTGAAAGGTAATTAGAAGGATAGGTAGGGAATTTCGGGCAATGGGAAAATTCTGTTCGTTCTAATTGCATGGAATTGTTGGAAGTTTCGATTTTCTTTATTTCAATTACAAACTTGGAGTTACATTGAAGTTTGTCATGTGTAATGTGACTTTCTCCATACGAATCGAAACATAAGAACAAAATTGGATTTATTCCTTGAATAAGAATGAATTGAATTGGTACAATACTCCAAAGAACCTCATTCACATGGATGAGAATTGAGGAGAAGAATGATATACGGGGAACCCAAAACTGTCTGCTTTGAATGATTAGAACAGACCACACAATACAGAAAATCCCAGCAAGACAAGCCAGACTATGTGAACCAAAAGCAGCACTTGCCCGGAACACAAAGTGCTACCTCCACTCCCAACTTCACAAAATCCTAGTTTCGCCACGCAGGTACCAGTGCATAAGGCATCTTCGCAACAGCACCAGTACATGACGCCGTTGACACCGCATACTGGCTCCGTTCTGAAGCAATTCACAGGGCGTGATGCCGGCTTAGTGAACCTTGCACAGACTTATTTGCTCTCGTCGAATCTACCGGAAGGTAATCGGAGGACCCCAAATCAACCGGGGCCAAACACACTAGCGGTAGCCAGAAACACAAGAAGAGCAGGATGGTGAAGACGGTGGCGTGAAGCACGGCATGTGGGGGTTCAATTGAAAGTATTTCCTGCAATCAAAAATTGAATCCAACCCCTACCGCCAATTGGCTTCAAACTAATGAAGATTTAAAGACGCAAGGTGGATTGAGGAGAGAGAAAAGAGGCGCGAAAGTCGTGGAATCAACGTCCACCTGAAATTTCCCCTTTTTTCACATGTGTTTTCAAACCCCTCCCTTTAAGTGTAATTTTTTGTGTCTATACTTTTGTTGTATTAATTAAGCAGTAAAAGAGATCACGTGTTTCGTATTTTTTAATGAAATGAAATATTTTAATTTTCTTTTTCTCTGAACAAATATAGACATCTTTGTAAAGTCTCCTTAATATCAATCTGCTGATAGAAATGTATATAAACATCTCGCTATTAAATATATAAAAATTAGCTGACCCTTATTCTCATATATAATGGGGTAAGAGGAGGTAGTATAGTAGGTTGCCTCTAACACCAGGTTGAGAGCATGTTCCGTGGACACCTCCGAATTATGAATTACCCACTGTGAGACTCGATCCTACGACCCCAAGGTTAATAGCCTTGTGTTCTGATATATATTATATCTAAAAAAATAATATTTTTAACATTCAGTCATAACAAGTATTGATAAAAGTTGAACCAACCTTTGAGTGTTAGAGACAATGTAAATGCATTAAAAATAAAGAGTAAAGAATAGAGAAAGGTTTTCGAAATCAGTTTTAAATTTAAAGATCAAGGAATTAGGGGCTTAATCTTTCTAACTTTAAAATGGATAAAAATCAAAATTTAATTTATTTAATTATAAATTGATAGAAATTCAAAAATATTTAAGAACGAACCGAGGGTTAATTCGATAAACTTAAACATTGATAACGTATACTTTTTTTATGTGGCTAAATAGCATACACAAAATATAAATATAACTATTAAAATCATTTAAAATTAAAAATAATAAAAAAAATATAGTAAATAATAATTATAAAAAAGAGAGTTAGTTTGGGCAGCTGGTTGAGAGAGAAATGAAAAGGGCGGTAATACTGGGCGGTTAGGTAACCGCTCCAAAGTCTGTAATTCATAAAGAACATAACCCACAGTATTATTCACTCTTAAATCTCCTTCTGCTTCCCCGATCATTAAAATGCATTACAAAAGCATTCATCATCCTGTAAAGCTTGCCTCTGTCGAAACCAAATCTTTCCATTTCCTATCTTTCGAACCCTACAAAGTAAAGAATCTTCTTTCTTTTCCTTTGATTATATAATAGGAAAGCAATTTGTTTTTTTATAAAATGCTGTTTGATTCATCCAAACACATGTTTAAGAAAGAAACCTGAGGAGGAAGAAATCTTATGTTTTTAAATGTATTAGTACGTAGTTTCTTTTATTATAATTAGGTTCTAAAAATGGTAAAAAGGCTTTTATTCTGCATGTTTTTAAGGAATCTCCAAAGACTTGAACTTGGTTTTTCTTTGGAGGACAAATAAAGTTGTTGATGTTGGGTTTTTGATCTTGTTCTTGGAGCCATTCCTTGCTCCATCCTGAGGCAATTTTATTTCATTCATTCTTCTTTGCTTCTTCTTCTTCTTCTTCTTCTTTTTGTATTATAAGATTTTATGTGGTCGGGTATAGTTTATTTTGATCTTTCTTATATTGAGATAAGGAACATTTTGATTGAAATTTTAGGTGAGAAAATTACCAGTTTTCAAGCTATTGATTTTGTTTTATTGTTTGAGCAGTCCTCAAGATAACAGAAAAGAGCAACAAACAGGAGAACTGAACAAGTGTCAAGAAAAAGGCTTGTTCTTGAGCTTTATGTTCTTTCCTTGAAGAAGAGAAATCTTTAATAGAGGGGGGGGGGGGAACAAAGAATGTTGGGTTCTTTCTCTGCTCCATCATCAAAGCCGCCACCATCCTACCAGGAAAGGGTCATGTCATCTTCCTTCTCTCATAATGCAGTGAGAATTGGGCAATGCAATAGTTCTTTTTCCAGTACTCGGATCGACATTTCTAGGAGGAAATGTGTTGCAACCAAAAGATTTTCCACTTCTGCTGTTCTGGCTGATGTTGCTAAAGGTTTCATGGTAACTTCCTTGTCTCTTGAGTGGTTTAGAGCTTATAATCTTCTAGCACTTGGAATTAGATGATTGATGAGTATAAACTTGCAATGCAGGCTTTCAGGGAGAATATTTTTCCGAAAAAAAGAGGCAGATCCTAAGACTGTTGCCTCCATCATTTTAGGGGGAGGGGCTGGAACTCGGCTCTTTCCCCTTACTGAAACAATGGCCAAACCAGCTGTAAGTTAATCTTGACATATTTTATGCAACCTTTGAGTTATTGAATATATTTTGCCTAAACACCTCTAACATTTACCGTCTCTGATGTGATGCTCCACATGGTTTGTTAGGTCCCCATTGGAGGATGTTATAGGCTGATTGATGTCCCCATGAGTAACTGCATCAATAGTGGGATTAACAAGATTTACATCCTCACCCAGTTCAATTCTCAATCCCTGAACCGCCACATTGCTCGGACATATAATCATGGCAATGGTGTGAACTTTGGGGATGGGTTCGTCGAGGTAGGTTGAACAATTCCCAAGTGGTAAGATTCATCTTCTAAACCAGATCAATGTTCCGAACTGTGGAAATGCATTATAGGGTGGTTGTCTCTTGCTCTCTGCTACATATGCTTCTAATTCGGCACCTTGTCATGCAATAGGTATTAGCTGCTACACAAACACCTGGTGAATCTGGAAACAAGTGGTTCCAGGGCACAGCTGATGCCGTAAGACAGTTCTTATGGTTGTTTGAGGTATGACAAGCTGCCCTATCTTTTTATTTCCTTCTCATTGGTCTGTGCTTTGGAAGTCGGAATAGAAATGCTATAGCATGCTTTTTCAACAATGAAAATTCTTGAGTTCACAAATTTGTGGTAACTATTGCAGGATGCTAAACTCAGACATATCAAGAACATTTTGATATTATCTGGCGATCATCTATACCGGATGGATTACATGGATTTCTTGCAGGTGAACCATAGCTGCTCACTTGATTCTTTACTTTGCAATGTTGTCTTTTCTCATTAATTCCTAGGCTTTATTAAATGTCAATCTCTATTGCAGAAGCACATTAATTCTGGTGCTGACATATCTGTTTCTTGTGTCCCTGTGGATGAAAGGTAATTAGAAACAAATATTGGGAAAAAAACAAAGAAAACAAAAGGACTGACGTAGGGTAGTCCAATAAATTGTTTACCAGTGACAGAAGAAAATGAACAAAAGATTGATAGTTTTTCAGTTTATTGTACTTGTATAAGATCATATAACACCGGTAAAATGATATTCAATACAAAGAATATGAACAAATGCCTTGTCCTGCAGTCGTGCCTCTGATTTTGGATTGGTAAAGATCAATGAAAGTGGACAGATCGAGCAATTTCTAGAGAAACCCAAGGGTGAAAGTTTGAGGTCAATGGTTGGTACTTGTCCTTTGTTCTTATGTATAGATTTTGATTTAGATCTTAATCAGGGTCGTGGTTAAGTTGTTGGAGGCCTGTGCAAATTCTTGTAAAGGGACCTTAGATCTCGAACTTATTTTTCTGAAATAATAAATGATTAATTTTATTAACTTAAAAATCTTATAGATATACTCTATTTCAGGATCCTGTGCAAATTTGAATTTGTTTTTCCCAAAAATAAATTTGTTTGTTGACGAGATTCGAATTTAAGATCAACAAAATCACAGGCTCAATGATCTAATTACTGCTATATATCTATTTTTCTTCTTCTTAATGACAACAATTTATAGATATACTCTATTTCGGGGCCTCTGTTTTTTGAGGTCCTGCACCGTTGCGCACTATGCACTCGCTCAACCACGCCCCTGATCTTAACCATTCAACTGATTCTTGATACTTCTTATTGTAACAGCAAGTCAATCCGACTGTTCTACGATTAACAGCTCAAGATTCAAGGAAAATGCCGTACATTGCATCAATGGGTATATATTTGTTCAAGACAGATGTTCTACTGAAACTACTCAGGTAATATTAGCCAAAGCAGTAAAATATATCCCATAAACTGCATCAATGTTCTGGTTTGCTTCAACCAGGAAAGATGTTCTTTCTTTTTATTATTTTTCCTTCTTTAGGTGGCATTATCCGGAAGCAAATGATTTCGGATCTGAAGTCATTCCACTGGCTATGAAATATTACAATGTTAAGGTACGCTTTCGAAAAGGTTGTCCATGATCACTGTTACTTAAATGTTGAAACTTGTCAGAGCCTCTAAGTTGCAGTTATTTGTACATGGCAGGCATATTTGTTTAAAGACTATTGGGAAGATATTGGAACTATAAAATCCTTTTTCGATGCAAATTTGGCCCTAACAGATAAGGTAGTCCTCTTCTAAACCATCCCTGCAGTTTTTCCTTATCCGATTTTACGTTTAACAAGCTGCAACTTGTCTCCATGCTTAAAGCCCCCCAAGTTTCACTTTTATGATCCTCTAAAGCCAATCTTCACCTCTCCTCGGTTTCTACCTCCATCAAGAATAGAGCAGTGCAGGGTAATAATTTCGTTTCGGATTCTAGTCTGATAAAATGGCATGACTATGATGCATGGAATGATTATGAAGTCACCCCTGCTTATTGTAGGTCGTGGACTCCATAATTTCACATGGCTGCTTCTTGAGAGAATGCAGTGTCGAACATTCCATCGTGGGGGTTCGCTCAAGATTGGAACATGGGGTGCAGCTCAAGGTAACTTCTCCATTATTCATTCATTCACTCACTATATCATATAACATCGTTCTTCTTACTACCGATTTAAAATCACGAACTTTGAGCATAATCAGCTTTAACGGAGCCAATTAGAAGCCAAACCAGAAAAATCTCGAACTTGCCTTAGATTTTATAACTATCACTGATTGTCCAGGATACATTGATGATGGGTGCTGACAATTACCAAACTGAAAAAGAAATAGAATCCTGTTTAGCAAAGGGCAATGTTCCCCTAGGCGTTGGCAGAGATACCAAAATCAAGTAAGCTAGCTTTGAACATACACATATCTTACTCGATATATGCATCAGTGTTGGAACATTTCTTGGACTGGTTTTCTTCCTGCAGGAATTGCATAATAGACACAAATGCAAGAATTGGAAAGAATGTTTTCATTGCAAACAAGGATGTAAGTACATTTAATCTATTGGATGAACATGTTTGAGTACCAAATCATGAAAAGAGAAATATAAGACTGATTTACATTGTCTGTTCTGGATGAAATGCAGAATGTGGAAGAGGCAGATAGACCATCAGAGGGATTCTACATTCGATCAGGAATTACTGTAGTGTTAAAAAATTCTGCAATTAAGGATGGAACTATGATTTAGTACCCTTTTTTTTTAATTTTTCTGCGGGTATAATTTAGATAAGTTGTTGGTGAGGTTTATCTAGTTTTAGTTTTCATGGATCGGAATGTTTATTTCATAACAAATAAATATATGATTTAGTTGTAGTTGTTGGCGAGGTTGATTTTACAATACCATAAGCAATTTTAAACAATAAATGGACAATCATATACATAATACATACCAACAAATAAGCTATTTATTTATTTATATGAATGCGAACAATATCGAATTAATGTTGCATTTTCATTTTTTTTAATTACTGTTATTTTTATAAATTATATTTCATCAAAAGAGCAATTTATATTGAAAAATACACGAATCATGATTAAACAAACAAACAAAAGTGCATAAGCAAAACCCAAAGTCATTTACATCTTTAAGCTATCATAACAAAGTTGAAGCAGCAGAAATAACAAATAAAATATTTTACAACCAATATAATCACTTTTAGAATGTATTTTCGAAGATACAATATTCTTGATAAAAGATAATAAATTTATTTCACTTAATTTGAACATAAATTGGATAGAAAAAATAATTGGAAATAGAAATGGTTGTAGAAACTGAGAAGAGATATTTTATTTAAGCTGTGGATCCCTGGACAAGAGGGGATCCGTTCTCTTTAAGTCTCTAGTTTCCTCTGTTATCGATGCTATTGCTAGAAGGGCTTGGAATGGCAGAGCTATCAATAGGTGGCTTAAAGGTCATCAATCGGTTCACTTAACTTACTTGTCTTCTATCTTGACCACTTGTTTTTGTGGTGAGATAATTGTGTGGTTATCAACCACTATGTTAGTCGACGTCGAAACCTTACATTTAAAGATAAATGATTAGAGACAATCGTATCTTAAAATTTTAAATTATTATATATTTTGATTTTTTTATATAATTTTTTATCAATAATATATTTTCACTTCTTAAAATTTTATAAATTTATTCCTCATAGCATAAAATTCTTCGTCCATCTCGATATATATTCAAGAATTCTACTGGCACGCTCCTTCAATTACAAAGCCTTTGAGCACGGAACTCCGCAGTACGAAATGTTGTAATGGTAAAAAAATATCTTTGAAGTGGTGTGTCAAAAACTTTTTTATATGAACTTTTTTGAGGTGAACTTAACACGAATTTGCACAAGTTGTAAAGAAGTTTTTGACCAGTGCATGTTGGTTTACTTGATAGCCACATAATGATTGATAACATAATATTTTGCATGTACTGTAACCGTGCATGTAAATGTTGTGAACAATTTATATGTACTATGTTGATTGTATTTATCCTGGATTGGAGTGACACGAAGACTCACGTGCATTACTCCAACAGATTATTTAAGCCGGACATTGGCAAACTTTATTCACTTTGAAGGAAGGAATGAAACTCAGAAAACCTTTTATATTTCATTGGAGGAGTATCATTATTGCAACATGCAGAGTTACAAAGCACTCATCACTTTCTTTGCTTCTTCATGAATCGACAAAAGGTTCGTCTTTATCTCCATAGAAAGCCTGCTCTCAACAAGCTGAACAGGCAACCACATCTTCGGCTTAAGATCCACCGAATATGAAAGCGTCGTCTGAAATTCTACACCGATAATGCCTTCACATTTTCCTTCATTAAACTGCATAACACATCAATTAAGTAATACAGTCATTAGCTTTTGGAATACATAACTATGCATTTACTTGTTAAAATCGCTGACGGTAACACTAGTGACAAACATCATATTTATCAGGCCATCAAGCCAGAAATATTTGGTCGCAACTCGCAAACTATAAGTCAAGACCTTAGAAAGAAGGGAAATTGTGAAGATGCCAGTGGGAAAGATGGCGAGAATCATTAAGTATACTTCTCAAGCCAAGCCTCCAGTTTTCTAAACATGGATTTCTTTAGACCGGCTAAATGCTGTACCATATGATTCTATAGACGCAACCCTAAAGAGAAAAAATGCACGAAAAAGCAACCGTGGACACCAACTACTGAGAACTCGAAACAAACCAGCAACATCAACTTAAAATGAGACAACAAAAATTACAAAAGTAAAACTGTAAGTGAAGTGCATTTTTTATAAGATCAACAAGTGCTAAGTGCGCCTAAAGCCAATGCAAATCCATTATATTATATGGTTTAGTCATTTGCAGCGGAGGAAATATACTTATAGCACGAACCAATGGCATAAATAAGTCTGAGGGCAGAGCATGGATCAAAATTGTCTCGATTTAGCAAGAAAAAAAGAACTCCATTCAGTTGATCTAAGGTTTCCTTTAACAATGAGATGTGATTTTATACTTCCATGAAAAACAAATTGAAAGACAATATTTAAAGGCACTGAAACAGCTTAAAACCAATTAATTCTCTACCTGTTCGACCAACCATGTTCCTTCAAAAACAATAAAGTCACCTTCAACCATCTTAAATTGAATCTCACGCTTTTTCCCAGAAGGCAAAATCTCAAGATCTTTCTCATAACAATCTATAACTCCTTTCGCATTAAATTTCAAACCCAATGGCAAGTTTTGCTGTCCAATCTATTGAACGGAATGACTACAGAGATTACATCAATAAATCATATCAATAAGTAAACGAAATGGGAGATAAATGATTTACCTGATAGAGTCGAGCAAATTTGTCTTTCTTTTCGACAACTTTGCTGACGGTAAGAGCCGGAATAACATCGGACAACTTCTCATAGTCCGTCAAAATGTTCCAAACGGTGTCGAGGCTGGCTTCAATCCCAATTTTGGACCGAATTCTACGAGAACTCCTTCCAAGTTTTGTTACCTCCACAAAGACACCATCTTCAGATAATGATTGTGTCTTGTCATCTGAAAGTACAAACCCATCATCGTCAATGTCAAAATAAACATCATCATCCTCATTTGTGTCGGAAGTGGTGGCATCGGAGTTGGAACAAAAAGGGCACGGGCTGAATTTGGAGAAAAGAAACCTGGGATAGGGAGTTGAGAGGAAAATTAAGGCGGTAGTTTTGTCGGAGGTCGGTGGGTTGAGAAGGAAGCGGGCGGAGGTGGGGAAAGGCGCGAGTGAGACGGTGGAAACAACAGTTAGTGGAATTGGATACGCGCGCATATTTTGTGTAGCTTAACTGAAATACCACAGCCCCATATTTTTCAGTGCTAGAGATTTTTCCAGGGGATTTCTTTCCATCAGCCGCTCCCTTTTAAGAACAGCAACGTCTCGAGAGGTAGAAAATGGTACTCGTGGCCCAATAGTTTTATATCGTTTGGGTTGGGGAATTGAACCCATAAACTGAATTTGGGTCAGTTTTTTTCATATTTGGATTGAAAATCATAATTGAAAAAAAAAATACTCTCAATGTTTTGTTATGCTTTTTTAGATTTTAGATTTTCATGTTTTATTTTAAAGTAAAATATCTAGTTGGATAGAAATTATTAGTCAACAGATTGTAAATGCTTGTCTATGACGTGTCAAGTCATATCTATATAAGATAATGACGTGGCACATATCATATGTACATAAGTGATAATGCAACACATGTCATGTATATATAAGTGATGACATGATAAATACTATATGTGGTGATGTGATACATGTCATGTCACTATTTTGAACCATGTGACTTGTTATGTCAACAACAAGCATTAATAATAAGTCAATTAACGATTTTCATTTAATTAAGAGAAATTTTATTTTAAAATAAAACGTTGAGGGCTAAAGTATTTCAATAAAAAGACCTATTAAAGAATAACCATTTTATCAAGCATTAGAGTTGAATTTTGACCTTATACCCTCGTCTTTTTCCAACAAAGAAATAGCTAAAGAAATAATTTTGAAGAACTGATATTCATTTCTAAAATGTACAAGATCATTAAAAGGTTTGAAACAATATGAAAGCAAGTATGAATTTGCACCTTGAGTTATGGTAGGTTTAGCAGTGCATTGGAGAGACATCGTGGAGCTTCGACTCTTGGATCTTAAATCTTAATAATGGCGAACCAAAAATTAAATTGTGATCAATTAATATCTATATTTCCTAAACGTCAACCCAATTTATAGTTGATGACATTACTTGCAAGTTCTACAATTATAATGATCCACTCCATCTTTGGAGTAATTCTCAAGGATGGTTTCCCACTCTACGACTAATCTCTACATATTCTATTTTTTATTTTAACAAATAAAATCATTTGCAACTTCTTTTAAAACAAAACAATTTAATGTGCAATTTTACTATTTTCAATAATAATTAAAATATATAGTAAAATTAAATCCATACTTATGTTTATGTTTATTGAATTATTATTATTGATAAAATATTTACGTTAGCATGATTCTATTTGAAGATTTTGTTGTACACATGAATATAACACGGTAAAAATTAATTAAAAACAACAAGGGATGGATCGTAGGGGTGTTGGTGCAGTCACACCCGTTAGAAAATTTAAATACCCTTATATTTTAGATTTTTTAGATTTTCTATTAATTATATAATTTCGTACCCCTTAAATTTTTAATATAATTTTTTAAATTTGTACTCTCTGACATAAATTTATGTGTTCGTTCCTAAAAACAATGTAATATGAAAAATAACATGACTATAACATAATAGTAAAACATAAACGTAGAGCAAACACATTTGATTAGTTGGTCAAACTGCTCATCTTATTCTCTCATATTCCTTTAGGTTATAAGTTCTATACCCACTAGAAACACTCTAATTTTTCCCCTTCACCTCCTTTCTAAGTAAAACTGAGATTATATTTAGAATTTATATAAAAATGAAAACGTATTTACATATGTCAAATTAGTAATATAAAACATAATTAAAATATAATATCCCATAATAAGTAATATAAAAATGAATATTTTTTATTAATATAGGATGAATATAAGGTAGTATTTATTTAAAGAATTTTAACCTTTTGATATTGTACGCTTATACTCTTGCATACATAGTACTCAAACTTGAAAATCTTAAGAAATAACAATAATTCTTTAACTATTGAAATTGTTTGATCGGTGCATCCATATGGTTCTTTGAATACAAATATAAGACAAAAATACAATAAATTAAAAAACTAAACTTGCCTAAAACAATATTTTTTAGTAAGATAAAGATCTCCAAAATCTTAATTGCATAATAAAATATTATTATGGTAAACACTACACAAATTATTATTATGGTTATTAGTAAGATAAAGATCTCAAAATCCTAATTGCATAATATAATATTATTAGGAAGATAATCACTACACAAATTATTGTTATAATTATTAATTTTTTTAATGTAACGTAATATTTTATTATGATTGTGATTTATCATTATATATTAAAAGTGAAAACTGGTACCAATCTTACAAAAGATGAAGACTCCAGCACATAAATCACATGTTTATTGATTAAAGCATTAGGGAAAAATATTAATTCTAGTATGACAAGCTATTGTTTTCCTAAATCATACGATTGGGATCCCTTAACTTGTTCTTCAAAAAATCATTCAATGACAACTGTGCTATTCATATATGAGCATTTTTTTTAAGGATCATAATATTAAATTTTATGATATAATCAAAACTTAAGGTTTGGGATAAGACTATTTAATATTGTGTATATATGATATATTTTTGTACGATGTTTAGTGTATTTACATGTTTAGTACCTAAACTATTATTTTTGTTTTATTTTAATACCTAAACCTTTTTTTAAAACCATACTGAACGTTTAGTTTGAGTTTCATTTTGGTACTATGTCGTTAAAAACTTAACAGTGATGTTGACGTGTCACCATAAGGTAATGTCACATCATCATTGAAAAAATACAAAAAATGTCACGCCATCGGTTCTGTTAATTTTTTAACTACGGGGTACTAAATTGAAACCTAAAGTAAACATTAGATATGACTTTAGAAGAAAAATAAAGTTTGGGCACTAAAATAGAACAAAAATAATAATTTAGATACTAAACGTATAGTTTACCCTTAATTTTTTTCACTCTTAAATTAAAAAATATAAGTATGTTTGATCTCACGTCTTTTTACATAATATATCTGTTTTGTAACCCATTCAGACCGATGCGGATAGCCCGATCCGATTTGGAGTGTCACATTAGGGCCACCGGAGCGACCCACCGAAAAAAATAGCAGAAAATTTAAAACTTTTCTTAAAACATGTAAACTCATAAAATCATTTATGAGTACAAAATAAAATTTATCAGTATTCGAAATAAAATAGATTTTCAAACTCGTATATAAAACAAAATACAATACATGCCCCCTAATCACATGTACCATACTCTGCAACAATGCCGGAAGAGTTCCCTTACTGAATTCGATAGATGCACTGGTACAATTCTTTTAACCTGCAATGGTGAGTAATAGAGTGAGCTTCGGAAAGCTCAGTAATACAGAACTACCAGATGATGCTACATGACATGCATATAAATGGAAAACCATAATTTCCTTATTGAATCAAACGTATACCAATTGCGGAATAATCTGGAGTTCCATTAGTAGTTCATCGAGTAGAAGCCATGAATCCCAGTTCATAAGAAACCTTTCATACTATCACGTTTTCATGAGGTCGAAAAGGATGTCTAGTGTGTTCCATCAGTACGATAAAACCATAATAGGTACACTAATTAAATGATAGTTCAGTAAAATCCCATAAACCATATTGTAGTGGAGCTTTTTAAACTCTTATTTTAAAACCATCTTACAAAGAGTTAACCTAAGGGAACATCTTAGGGCCTGAGAGCCTATCCAAGAAAGTTTGGGGCCATGGGGCCTACCTAAAAACACATCTTAGGGCCACAGGGCCTACCCGAGAATGATCTCAGGGCCACAGAGCCTACCTAAGAGTCACATTAGGTCCATAAACATTTTTCAGCTTGATCAGAGCTGTACTTTACAAATATGTATCTCCAAGATACAGTTTATACAATGATACAAATCCATAAGCCATCACCGTTAAGTCGGTGCATCCATAAAACAATAACCATATATTTCAGTGTACCACATGTTAAAACAATAAAACAATTTTTAAAATATAAGGAACACACTAGAGAATCCAAATATTTTTCAAATGCATTTTGAAGTTATCAATAAGGATAACATGAAGTTGGCAATTTGATCGAATTCCAGGAATAAGATCTTATTGAAGAGAATCGATTTCTAACCGATCTAATCATACATTTCAGATTGATACTTTAGAATTCCACTAAGTTTTCATGTGCATCAGGAAAGCGTTCAGGAACCTTTATACATAATAATTCTAAATTTAGATTTTCTGCAAGTGTTTCCATTACTCAAACAATCAGGGGTATTCAGGAATATACTTTGAATTCATAGGATTTCAGCCCAATTGAACCAAATGAGGTATTCAGAATCTTTTCATTCTGCGTTACTTACGTTTTCAAACATGACCGAAGTGATTTTAGATGAAAATATAGAATCGAAGATTCAAGTCAATTACAATCTATGACAATCGATCGTATTATCAAACAACTCGAGTTACACAACTCCCAAACTGATGCATGTCAATAAGCCAATTCATTATCCTTCCAGTGTATTCACTCTTTAATACCATAATGCATATCGATAGATCATCCCCATAATCATCGCTGAATAGATCTTCCAACGGTTTTTTTTTCATTTCCACGTTTCAACGATATAAGGAAATACGGACGTACTTGATTCATGGTACAACCCATAAGGACAATTCATCATGTAAGTTCAACAGTGTTTCCAAACTCATCCAATCAACTATTTAATCCTTGATCATTGAGGTTACTTAGTTCGTTTAGTAAGCAAGTCTATCCCGGTTTCTTTAGAGTTTTCCAGAATAATTGAGACGTTTATGAATTTCAAATACATGTTGTACTTCATTTCAGTTCAATTTAGTCATATACTAAAATCGTTTTGCTATTCATGATTGATTTATCTCAGGAATAGCCACTTCTTAATATCGAATGCGCTCTAGTGTTAAGCTGAACTGAGTACTTCCATAATTTTCATAAATCCAAACTTGGGGAAACGAACTAGCATTCAAGTGGTACCTATGCCATTCAAGTACTGATATAGCACTAGTATTGTTTGACCGGCTTAAATTGTGTTCCATAATCTTTAAGAGCAGTACAACATCCATGTTTATTTGAATTTCTTAAATAATCCAAGAGATTTACTTAGTCTAGGACATAAGGGTATTTTGGTCTTTTTTTATGCTCAATGATCTTCCATTCATTTCAAAGCTTGAGGATATCCATTCAGTCCTGGCTTGGTGATATTCTTTAATCATTTCCATTACAGGGGTATTATGGTTATCTCACAAATCTAGAATATTACAATCATTTCCTTCCGTCCGGTCTTATTATTTAATTCCAATTTATCATTTATGGCAATCCCTTCTAATTATTCCGACAAAATATCACCATCGATAAATTATTATTCTTCATGTACTTACTCAAATCGGAGATTTCCAGGTTAAATGCCTTCTCAGATATTACTAACGAATTATCAAAATTTTCCATTCAAAAATAAGATCTCAACAATCAAATCAGTAATTTATCGATTTAAAACAAATTCTCATGTTACTACCTCATTCAAAGTCAACTCAGACTATTTTTACCTCTCAAGGGCATTTTCGTAATTTCTTAACCATATAATTTCGGTATTAACTCTTAACGAAAATAATTATACTTTAGAGATCCAATCATTAATTGCTTTCCTGAACATTCTTTGATCTCGAAATGATTCCTTAACAGACTTTTAGTATCTTACATAAAACCTATTGGGTTAAAATCCGGTTATCCAAATTTTCTAAGCAAACTAGCATTTCTTTTGCACATCTTTAGTTTTCTCAGATCAATATATCCTTTCAAAGTTATTAGTCAACTTCCAAGGACAATTCTTGTCATCTTACAACATAAGGATATTTTCGTAATTTTACCCTACCGGAATATTCTCATAATTTCCCATCCAAGTACCTTTGATGAAATAATTTATATGCTACAAATCCATGATAACACATTTATCACTAATCACATAACTCATAATTTAATTCTAACAATCCATCCATTTCTTATATCAGTCATCTGAGCCATATTCATTTACCGAATTTTTACTATATTCGAATCGTGTGTAGAACTTCATTAATTACACATATGAGACCAAACATTTACATTCATGCATTTACCAATACCAACATGTTCCATAAAGCATGAAAATGTAGTAATGTATTACCTCAATTTCCGTGTCATACTGATCGACCATATAAATTCTATTCGAACACCCTCGATCTTTGATTCAACTTCTAATAATTCCTCAAATACATAATAATAGAAATTTCATAAAAAAACGAGACTTAATTCTGAAAAACGGATCGAATCATGTGATAAATAAGTGAAAAATAGCTTACTAGGTTCGAATTTGACGAAACAGACTTCATATTCGGATTCAGGACGTCGAAAAACATAAAATATGACTTTTCAAAAATTTTAACTTTCGAGCTTCCAATTCTTTCTCTCACGATCCCACACCATCTAAAATTTGAATTTGAATCCAAATAAATTTTCGTCGCCATAAAAATAACTTATTATAAATCCTTTCTATAATAGAGAGACATAAATGAAAAAATTAAAAACTCAAAGGCCAATTTAATACTTAGCTACCAAGGTAAGTGACCAAAATAAATCTTATTCAAACCATTAGACAACATTAATAACTATATAGAACTAGAAGACAAGGTTGAATTCTCACCAAACTTGGTTGACCCATATTGTGATTTACCCTTCATCCTTTATTAACTTTTCACCAAAACCCACGTGATTTTTCATATTGAAATCATAACCCCTTTTTCCTTTGTCTTCAGATCACATTCCTTTTTGTTTTCCCTTAATTTTTGAATTTCCAAGAATCTCCTGGATCTCGTTTTGTCTCTCTTAAAAGGCAATACAACCTATCCTTTCTTGGGTTTTGACGGGACAGTAATAGTAGCCGTAACAGAGCCACCGTTAGCAGCTCCATCATCTTCCTCCGCAGCCTCAACCACCTCGGTTTGCTTGTTGGTAACCATGACCACCACAGAACTTAGAGTTGTTTCTTCTTCTCTTATAGCCCGATAAGATTGAACCCTTTTTGTTACTTAGAAGATTTAGTACGCATATACTTCTCATCTGCCTCCAATATTTACCGTAACGTGCGGACACGACGTCTTTGTAGTCGTATAGAAGTATATGTAAGAAGTTGCGTTTGGTCTGTTTACGAATGTGAGATCATGAGTTTTGGTGATCTCACGGACAGCTTCGGCGGAGGACACGACGAGTACGGGGACATTGCCGAAGTGGAGCGACATGAGAGGGTCGAATCGTCGAGATAAGACAGAGTGAGCGATGAGGTAGCGACCGTTGTTGTAGAGATTTCCGATGATAGGCAGTTTCGACGGCGACGGCGATAAAATTAGTTTTCTTTTGCCAGTTGGATGAATCAAGACGATGAAGATGATGACCAAAAATGAGAAGAACAAGCGACATGAATTCTACAAGATTTCATGTTGCTGTAAAGATTGCAGAAAAGTTGGCATGTCCAGTACCATTACACCAATTATTGTATATAATGGAGTTTTTAGAACAGACCAAATGTTCCCAGATTTAAAAATGAATATTATAAAAAAAATCTCATCAATTTGTGGTTCCAAACATTTTGAATAAAATAATAAATTCACATTAATGATGGATAGAATTCACGTGAATTCAAGAATAAACTAAACCCAAAGAAGGCAAAATTATACTTAAAGTCCTCAATCCTTTTTAAAATTATTTGTTAACCCAACATTTTAATCAAACTACTTCTATAAATATCATATGAAATTTTAACCCTAAATTGGGGTGTGACAGTTTTAATTTGATTTAATATGTAAATATATATTTATCTATAAGGATAGATATATGATTTTATGTTATGAAACATAATTATAAAAATTTAAGGGTAAAAAATGATTATTAATAAAAATGTTATGAAAATTCTTAAAGTATAGGAGAAGTTAAAAATTTGGACGACCACCCACGAAACCCATATTATTTTAAAATATATATCCTTCTTCTATTCATTTTTAGAATATTTAGGGGCGAACTGCCGTGAAACCCCCAAAATTTTGAGAAATTTACATTAAGTTCTTTATAATTTTGAATAATTCAATTAAATTTTTATCGTAAAAAACTTTTAATATTTTTAAATAACGTTTTCAAAATTTTAAATATTCTCACTAAATCTTTTTATGTTTTTGAATTGAAAAAATAACTTCAGTGACCGAAAATGCCTTATAATATACGATTTTAATCAATTTTTTTTGGATTTGCGAAAATGACCAACAAATTTGCAACACGAATTCCAATTTCGCAAATCAATTTCCAAATTCGCAACACAGAAGTCAAATTCGCAAAGCGCGTTTATTTTCGCAACGCGTTACGAATTTGAAAACCGCGTTACGAATTTGAAAATCGCGTTGTGAATTTGAAAATCGCGTTGTGAATTTGAAAACCGCGTTGCGATTTTGGAGAATCGCGTTGCGATTTTGGATAATCTTTTGGAAACTGTATTGCGAAACTGGAGTTCGCGTTGCGAATTTGTTGGTTATTTTCGTAAATCCAAAAAAAGTTGGTTAAAATCGTATATTATAAGACATTTTCGGTCACTAAAGTTATTTTCTCTTTTGAATTTGATTAGTTCCATTATACCTCTCATATTTTTTAAAACTTCAATTACACCTCTATTTTTTTTTTGGAAAAAAATTAGTCAGACCACAAATTGTTTTGTCGAGATCAGACATTAATAATATTATATATATAATATTTATACAATATAAATTAAAATATAAAGATAAAAATAGTATATTTTCTTGTCAATCCATTGTGTTATTGTGCATTCAATCCCAAACTCTAGATATGGTTTTACTACATTTTTAATCTATTTCCTCTTAATTGGCTTTCAACCCCATAAGTTTGGGTTTAGTACACATATAAATCTTAAAGATACAATAATACATAAATAACAATAACATAACCATTTCCTTGTATTCCAATTACATGTAAATATTACTGACGGGGCCATTTTATTTAACATGAATGCTTCCTATGTGACATAATAATATAACAAGACCAGCCTCCCTGGGAACTGAAATCTAAGCAAGCACCGTCGTTTCAACTGCAGCTTGTTGGATGACTTGGTCCATTTGCCCCTCTTCTCCATCCCATAATTCAGGTATTGCTTCTTTGATGTTGTGGATGTTACGTAACACATAATCTGCTTCGGGCAATGGTGTCGAGCTCCCGACCTGCCATCATTATTCTCGCATGTTAACCATCGGCATATAGGCAAGTTTCTAGGTGCTGCGATCGAAAACGAACTCATATATAGCTTACTATGACTGTGTGAAGCCCTGCTGCTTTTCCGGTCGCAATGTTTCGAGCACTATCATCGAAGAAAATCTGGAAAAAATACTAGAAAATGGGAATCCGTGACTGTTAAAGGAAGAAAAGAAAACTGTGTTCAAGGATTGAGTGTCTACTGTTTTCTTTGGGTCGACATTGGCGAGCTGAATAGCAGCTTCAAATGCTTCAAGCGAGGGTTTACAGAGAATTGGTGACTTATCAGCAGCATCCATGAAATCAGGTTGTTGAAGAGGAGGGTTAAGTGTTTCAAAGCATATGATGCCTTCAAAACATTCTTCCAAGCACAGCCCTTTAAGAACTTGTTGCGCATGTGCCTTGTCACCATTCGTGAAGATCTAAAACATCAACAAACATCTTAGAACAGACGACATATGTTTTCGTCCTTTTGTCATCTGTTCACTTACTATTTTCCTCTGTGGCATCGAAAGTAGTAGGTTTCTTAACACTGGATCTGGCCTCAGTGTTTCGTACGGTAATCTTCCATGAGCATAGGCATGAAACTCGTCGTTGTCGAATTCATAACCCAGAGCCTGAAATTTCATGAAAAAAGAAGCTAAAAAGCATAAAAGAAACTGACAGAAGCGAATTCAGGACAGAATAAACTTGTAAGTAACCTTTAACCCAGCCATAGTTGTTCCATATTCCCTGTATAATTCCAAGCACATTCTTGGTACTTCACTTTCTTCAATATCAAGGTATTTCAACATGAATTCTGCCATTAAAGCAAGTGAAATTGCTTATATCATAACAAAAACCAAAAAAAAACAGAAGGAAAAAAAATGAAAAACAATCATGTATGTGATTTATGGCCTTACCTTCTATGTTCTTGCGGCAAGCCAAGTTGAAACCTATACTCAAGGGGTAAAGAGTATCATCCAAGTCTGTAAATCATAAAAAAAACCCAAAGTCATAAATGGTTCTAAAAAAGCCCGAAACCAGAGGACGATCTGAGGAAAAAACTGCTACATGACACGATCTTGTTCCTAACGATTAAGAGATTAACCGTACCGAAGAGCAAGCATTCATATTTAGCTCCGGTGGCTCTCTCAACGATGTCCATCTTCATGAATGCACATAAAAGAAAGAGCTATGGAAGAGCAATAGCTAAGGACTTAGAGCTTAAGCATATATAGACAAGTTAGCCTTGTGTCCTCATGTGGAGAATGATAGCATATTCAGCAAATTCCACTTAGATTTTGATGAAAGCAACACAATCCCATTAACCGAGGGAGATGAGTCTCAAAAAAGGCACAAACTTATTAGAAGAAAACAATCAGCAAATCACAGTCCAATTTTAAAAAAGCATACACCTAAGAGTAATGGAAAAACTGTTCTGGTGCACGATCTAGTTGTGGCTGATAGGGGTGACCTATATATATATATATGAACTCAAGGATGAGACATCATCGCAATTGAATGACGTATTGATGCTGAAATTGGCTGATGTGGTGAGCATAATTTTATCTCTGTTTAGTACACGAGTATGAATTGTCTACTCACCAAATACATGAAAAGTAAGTTACCTGTCATTTTCTGCTATTGTTGCTGATTCGCTGATCTAATAAGAAATCAAACTTTTACTGATTAGGCATCCTCAAATAAAATAAAATTCCGTAGGTTCCAATGTATGTTGGCCACCTCAAGATGTCACTTAATTAAAAAATACATTTAATTCATGACGAGTAGAAAATGATTATAAAATATAAAAAATTAAAATTTTATGTAAAGATTCTTAAATAGAAAAGAAAAAAATTACTAAGGTCAAAAAAAAAATACAAGATAATTTAAAGAATTTGACTTTAATTTTAATTATAATCCCTATTATCTATTTATAGGTACAATTATTTGATTTGTACAGAAATTTTGCTTACTTAAGCTATGTTTCTTACTTTTTAATTAACTACTAATAGTAGAAATATGATTCAAATAGAATTTGGGTCACAATTTTTTTTAATAAAACTCTAATATTCTTCATCTTAATAATTCGAAAAGTATAAGGATTTCAAGACAAAAAAAAATCAAATTCCACGTAAATCTAAACTACAAATATTATTCAATTTGACAAACAAATTATCTACCTTAAGAACATATTAATCACCTCTTTCATGAAATCACTCAAGAGTATTAATCAACAATTATTTTCAACTGGATATAAATCTTTTCTAAGTTACAATATACGAAATAACTTAGTTTTCACAGTATTAAGCTCATCATAAGTATCAACTTTAATGAAAATTGTATCACCACTAACAATATCATGCACAACACGATCCTAATTATAAATGACAATTATATCTTTCTCGTTGTTTATCTTTGTGATTAATTAATTGGACTCTCTTTTTTCTTCTCAAATTCGTTATGTCCATGGTCTTGAACTCTTTTATACTTTTCATAATTGTTATGCCCACGACTGTTAAGTTTAACACAAAATCTTTTTTTATTTAGTCAAGATGTTTTCACTTGTAATGTTGTCATCTAACAAGGAGGAGGAAAGATCAACTGCATCATCTAAAACTATTAAACCTTATAAAAACATAAAATTTGATAACCTTTATCTATCATTTCATCACATGAGAGCCCTTGCAAAATTTCATGATTAACACATCAACGTCTCTACAAAGGAATCAACCTACTCTAATAGCCAAGACAAATAACCTCTCCTTGGGACTTTAGATGATATAATAGTTCCTAAAAATTATATAAATTATTGACTTTATTTAAATTATCAAGTAATAAAGTTGTCTTTTGTATAATAATCAACCTTATAATACAACTTATAATTAGTTTAGACCATTGGTAATCAATGAGTCGGTATTTTCTTTTCATTTAATCGAGTTAAATCGCTAGGTAATTAATAATTCGATTTTTTTTTATAATTTTATGTATTTTAATTTTAAGTAATTTTTTTATACATTTTATAAATTTTATAGTTTTCTTTTCTTTTCAATGATTTTATCTGGAAAATATTTTTTTATTTATTTTTATAATTTACACCTAATTAAATTCTTATTATCTAAAATAATCTAATGAGCCCTTACGAATGACATTTGTCACTATTATAGGGCTCGTTAGCCATTTAAGCAAAAAAAAATAACAGTCAACGTTAACAAAGACTTGATTGATTAAATTTCAATTATGAGGACTCAATTAAGTGTGAAAAATTTTATGAGAACTGATTTTCATTTTTTTAATTAAAGAAATACTTAAACTTATAAATTATTAAAATATTAAAAAAATTAAATATGATTGTAATCAACGAGGGTGCTAAAGAGAAAGTGGTCTGGTTCCCTAAAAAAATATTTATCCTATAATCGTTTAAGAAATTGTGTAATTATAAAATAGTTGAATTAAAAATGTATTTATTTATAAATTCATATTGGCTTAATAAAAATCTTGGTTGATTTTTTTATTATAATCTACATTTAAAAATGATGCTTTCTTTGTATGAATCAAGTTACTTTAGTGGTTAAAAAGATAATTTTTTTTTCTTAAAGGTTTCAGGTTCGAGCACCGGAAATTACAAGGGTGATTGAGCTTTCATTGTCCAATAGCTATGAATCTTTAGAGCAGATACTACTTTATAATCATCCTAATAAAAAATTGTTGCTTTCTCTCTCTAATTTTTCTTCTTTTTTCTCGTTGAATCATTCTCAATGTGTTATTTCATACTAACTAATGGTAGATAAGAGATCCGTAAGGCTTAGATTGCCTTTTGGGCTGTAAGCCCACTAGGAATTAATCTTTTTTTATGTTATATTAGCCCATTGTAATATGTATAACTTATGCCATTTTTTTATAAGTCTTGAGAGAATATAAAGTAGTATATGTCGAAACGATTTTTTTCTTAAAGGTAAAAAGGTGAGATTTTGAAAACCACATTAATTTATCTCGTTCAATCGATATTTTTTAAAAAAACAGATGCGATTTTTAAAAACTCTCGTTTCGAAAATTCTGGATTTTCTTTACGATCGAAAAAATACGGTTCAAAGAGTCACCACCAATCTTTGATTAGGGTGTGATTGGGCACCCAAAAATATTTGTTATTTTAAATAAAAATTAATTTTAATTAAAATAACAAGTTAAGATCTGTGTTACCAAAATCCGAGTTCGGGAGTCGGTTACGTGCAGGGAATGATTAGCACCCCCACAACGCCCTAAAACGGTACCTAGTCGATTAATTAATGTCTTTGCATTGAACTTTACAAATTCGAACTTAATTTGATTTTTGATCCCATAAAACAACGATGTAAATTTAAAAACATTCAAAAGCACTCAAACAAATTAAATTAACATTATCGTGTCGTTTTAGAAAGATAAAGAGTGTTCAATTATTTATAAATGTCGAGACCAGATCTTAAAAGCTATAACAACCTTTTCTCGATAAATTTAAATAAACGAACACTTCCTTTTCTTTCGTTCCCAAATTTTAAGCGAAGAATCGATTTTTAGGTTTCACTTTCGGGATACACTTTTATTTTAAAATTATTAAAAGCGGACCTCAAATCAGTTATGACTACCCACTTAAAACAATTTTAAATTAAAAGGGTATTACCCTTAATCCAATTATGTGATATGTCGAGTTATGCAAATGAGGCTATCATGTAAATTATGCAAAAAGTATGTCATGCCAAAATTAATTAAAAAACATTAAAAATATCATACAACGTGACATACAAAAAAATTATATACGTATATTTTAATTACAAATTATAAACTATGCCTATTAACATACAATGTACAAATATGACTCAAATATAAAAACAAAAACATAACATGCTAAACTAAAAATTTAAAAAGTATATATACATAAATGTAGTGACTAAATTTGAAGAAATGTAAAATTCGACATACAAATTAAAACTAAAGTATGGATTAAAATGAAACATGCGCATAAATGAGGAATCTACACCCAAATAATCTAATAAAATTACAACTAAAATTAAAAATGAGAAAATAGCTAAATCAAGACAAACATAAATGATTAAATTCAAAAGCAGTCCTAAAGGATTATCTAACATAACACATCTAGTAATCAACCCATTAATTAAGCAAGCAATGAAACTTGATAATCTTCTCATAATAAAGTCAAGTGACCTAAAAAGAATTTTCCCAACATATGAACAATAGTGCGGTTCCACTTCCAAAGTTCTGATTCATATTAAAAATTAAAAAAAGAATAAAAAGAATAAAAAGAAAAGATCATTTGTTTTCACCTTTGTTTTATAAAAGTAGCGGACCTTTAAAATCAAGCCCCTCTGTTTTTTTCGTCGACACGAGGGATCTTCGTTTTTGGTGACCCACGTTCGAATGAAAGACGTGAAAAGATAAATCCGAGGCTTTACCTCACCGGTCTACTGCTAGGTTCAGGTAGAAACAAGCGAGGTTCCCTAGATCCAAAGATTTACACTCGAGTAACTTGGATCTCCGATTAACATTTCATCTCCGACGAACAAGTAATATAAGTGTCTATTTTGATCCAAGATGGTTTCTTTCTCTCTAAATTTTACTATGAAGTTCTTTTTTTTCTGTGTTTTTTTTTTGGTTTGATGATGATTTTTCAAATGGTTTTATTCCACTACTCGACACCTTGCTAGTTCAGATGGCCTTTTTGCTTTGTGAATCAACACAAGAAAATAATGCTCATTTCTCTTTTTTTTTCGTTTTCAATAGCTAAGGATGATTTTATCTCTTCGAATAACTCAAAATCAGGTTGTATTCGTTGTTTTCCCCTCCCTTTTTTTTCCAAAACTGATCTCTGGCCCTTTTTTCTTAATATCTCTCCATTTTTTTCCGTTTCCTCTCCCTATAAAATCTATCTAAAACTCCCCCCTTTAGTTGATAGATTCCAGCGGTTAATTACCCCTCAAAAACTGACTCTTTACAGTTTTTAATTGCCTAAGTTTCGTGCTCCTCCACTACCAATAATTGATCCATCTTTTGTCAACTCCCTTATCACATTTATTAACTTCCTATAACCATTTTACTATCCAGGTTTCAAGTGGACTAGAGTTCACTTTGCTGAGGACCATTAGACTTGAATTGGGCCTCAACCTAGTTGGGCTTTCTTTAAGTCTGTCATCACTTCGAGTCTTCTCCGACTTAGCCCCGGACAAATCGAGTATCTATAGTATATGTTCAAATAATTTTAATCATTTAACGATAATGGTTCATGCCCTTGCATATGTGATATTCGAACTCAAAACCTCAAGGGATAATAATATTTATTCATAATTTTTATTGAAAAATAATAATTTTTTAATAGTCTGAGATTATTATAAGATAATATTTATTCAAAATTTTACTTAACCATTAAAAACGTACATATTTTGTAAACGTAATTACTTGAATTTGAATATAAACTTTAAAGATAATAATATTCTCTTTTATCATTGAAATCACGCACTGAATTCATTGAAAAATAATACTTTTAACTTCTATTTTTTATAAGTACAATAAAGTTAAATAATTGAATGGATTTTTTGGGGGTAAACTACGCTAATGGTTACTAATCTTTGAGTATTTTTTGTTTTCACCACTGATATTTCAAAAATCATCAACCAGTCACTAACGTTATCATTTGTTACAAATTGGTCACTCAATATTAACAACCGTTATTGTGGCTGATGGAAAGCTGACATACATATTAACTGTTGATTTGACACCGTTTGACCATTATTTTGACCCATACTTCTCTTCCATCTCCACTTTCTCGTCTCCATACTTTTTTTTTAACTTAACACCCATCATTTTCATTTGTCTTTCTTCTTCAATATGGGATAATTTTACTTAAGGGATATTACGCATGAATTTTATTCAATATGGGTTTTGAGGATTTTACACATTAATTTTATTTAACTTAAGGGAATAAATAACACAATTTATATCCTCCGAACTCATTTTACATTACCCATGACTTGATTATGATTGAATATAGGGAAACAAGAGCAATCACTAACTCGCAAGAGGAATGCAAAGAGATCCATTATTTATTTAAATGACAAGCCAAAACAATGAAAAACTAAATTCCGGTTGGATTTTTTTTCAAGCATACAAGGAGATAATTACAAATGGATGCAAAACGGTTTATCCTATCAATTGTCTCGATGAAAACGGAGAAAGGAGGAAAAAGGATACACGCACATACACTGGACAAAAAGGGGAAACCCAGATATGAAAATGCATTAGCAAAGTAAAGATGAACATTGGAAACTATTGACGAATCCTTATAATTTTCCTATGAGTATTATAATAAGAGACTCCAATTACTTGCCTCTTTTCATTTGTAGGAACCTTGCTTGTAAGCCTGGCAGTTTGCGTGGCATCCTGCTGATGAAGCCTCAGGGGTTGCTCGAAGAATCTCGCATAAGAGGTTTTGGCATTCACTCTGTAACACATAATGCAATAAATGTTGATAAATGAAGATATATAAGTTCAAGTAACTATGCCAAAATCACTACCCAAAAGCCAACACTGTAACCCCCAGTAACTTGAGATACTTCAGAATTAAGGTTTACATTTGTTGAAAGTGACTTTTTTGTGTTTGGGTCAATTTGTAGGGTAGATTTCGACTGAATAAGCTCTCCAACAACAACTTGATTACTCTTGTTTCCTCCGCTTTGTTCTTTTTTTAGAGATGGAATACTAAGATTGACGGAGAAAGACAAATAAAAATGGTGGGTTTTGAGTTAAAAAGAAGTATAGACATGAGAGAGTGGAGATGGAAGAGAAGGGTGGGTCAAAATAATGGTCAAACGTTGCTAAATCAGCAGTTAACATGTCATGTCAGCTTTCCGTCACCTACAATAATGGTTGTTAGCGTTGCGTTACCAATTTGTAATAAATGATAAAGTTAGTGATCGATTTATAACTTTTGAAACATCAGTGGTGAAAATAAAAACTTACTCAACCATTAGTGACTGTTTACATAGTTTACCCCTTTTTTGTGTTTGTAATTCTATCTTATTAGATAAAATTTATACCGTTTCTGTTTTGAATTCAGTGCTTGGGGTTTGAGGTCCAGATATTTGATTGCAGTTAACTAGCCTGCCTAACACAATTAATTTGAGCTTTATTTTTTGGGTAAATTATATGTTTAGTATTTCAATAACCATTTTTGTTATGTTTTGCTTATATAATTATTTTTTTAAATTATATCTAACGTTACGTTTTGGTTTCAATTTGATCATTGACATTGTTGATGTGGCATTTTTTATTTTTCACTAATGATGTGGTATTACCTTATGCTGACACATCAGTATCACTTATAATTTTTTAACAGCGGGTGACCATAATGAAACCAAAACTAAACATTAGGTATGATTTAAAAAATAATAATTGGGTGAGTAAAATGAAACAAAAGTAATAGCTGAGGTACTAAATGTGAAAGTCACCTTTTTTTATTGACGATATAAAAACCTATTTTAAATTCAACATGATGAGTATTTGATTATCTTTTTATAGTATTTTATTTTGTTCCAACTTCCAAGTTCTAACTAACAGGCAATAATAACATACATGCTGAAAACTTTTTACCCTTTGGAGGCGTCATTACTTTGAATTTTGGTGAATAATTTGTCAAACAACGTCATGATTACACTTCTTGAACTCGGTTGCATGGAAACGAGTTTGGAGATTTCAATTTACTTTGCTTTAAAAACGGGGTTGAAAAAAGGTTTCCTGATAAAAATATACCATTGGCTGCAGGTGATGAAGCAAAAGATGCCCTCCATGACTCATCCAACCCAGAATTATTGGAAGAAAAAAAAAACACTGCAATTTTGGGTTTTTTGTGCTGCTTTCAGTGTAGGATTTGAATGGATTGCTGGTAATATCTGTTTTCACTTTTGAAAAGCTGGTTTAGCTATTGACACTGGGGATGAATGGATGATATGAAGAGCAAATGATCCCTTTTTTTTCTAATCAACAATTGGTTACAGATAGAGAATTGCAACATCCCAATGCACAAACATGGCCATATGCAACAGGGCAAAGAAGAGTAAAAAGACACTAAAACAACCCTTATTCAGCAATTCTACCCCACAATCGCACACAAAAAAAGAGAGGCTAAATAGAATATTGTTTTGCTCACAAATGGTCCAAAAGCAAAGGTGATAATTTTTTTGTAACAGATTCAGAATCTATATACACCAGAGTGAGTTAAAAAGAGAGAGAGAGAGAGAGAGAGAGAGAGAGAGAGAAACTGTGGTACACACCTGATATTGAGAATGCCATTTTTTTTTACTTTTTTTGGCAAGTCAAAGAGAAGGGTTCCTTTCATATATGGCAAAGGAGAAGCTAAATATGTCCATAAGCTATTGTAAGTCTTTGGATGTCCTTAGCACACAAATCCGAATTCTGCAAAGCCTCTTGCTGTTGTTGCTGCTGCTGTTGATTAAAGGACCACATGGTGTTTGATGAACTATTGGTGAAGAAATCGGTTTCGGATTTGATCTCGATGTTGCATAAGGATTGTGTGGTTTGGTTCTGCAAAGCAGCCGCCAATAACAATGGATTGTTGAGATACTCTGGCCACTTGATTTCATCTCCTTGGTTTTCCATCAAATGGATTGGATTTGGAGCCTCTTTCTCCCATGAGTAACTGTTGCTCTCGAAGAATGAACTGCTGCTTTGTAGCTCGGTGCTGCTACTGCTATGAGGAGTAAACGAGGCCATCGAATGACTATCGGAGGAAACGGTGAGAGAAGGCTTGAAAGCCATGGGAGATGAGAGAAAAGAAGTCGTCAATGGTGGAAGAAGTGACGACATGGAACTCGAACAAAATTCGGAATCGATATCGAAACTTTTGTTACTAGTTTGAGTGAACCAGAGAGTAGTGTTCGGGAGTCGAGAATTGGAGGTATAGTTCAATTGATGAATCGGAAACGGGCTATCCATGAACAAGTCCTTGCTGCTGTTGATTGTGTTGGAGCAAGGAGAGGCGCCTTCCATCGAAATCGGTCCCTGTTTCGGATCGTCGGTGTTGAGGTTCAATTCGGTAGATGCACCAGAAGCCACATCCAGGCTATTTGTGGATTGTTGAATGTTTTTGTCTTCACCATTTTCAACCGCCGAGAGGGGCTTGTGAGTTACAGGATCAATGCCTCTCTGCCTAAGCTTCTTCTTCAAACAAGAGTTCCATAGATTCTTGATTTCATTGTCGGTCCTTCCAGGCAATTGTGCAGCTATTTGGGACCACCTGAAAGTTGAAAGAATTTTCTTATAGAGTTCTGCATAAAATCCAAAATCATGAGAGATAACAATAATACCTATTCCCCAGAACTGCATGAAGTTCAATTATGAGATTCTCTTCTTCTTGAGAGAATGTGCCTCTCTTTAAATCAGGTCTCAAGTAATTAATCCACCTTAATCTGCAACTCTTTCCACACCTCTGCAGACCTTCAAAATTTTCTCATATTTTTTCAGAAACAATTCATGTGGAAAAAAAAGATCGCATAAATTAGGTTACCACTTACCAGCTTGTTTAGGGACAGCGCTCCAACAGCCATGGCCATACCTTGTGATATGCCTCAAGAGCTTCTCATCTTCTTCAGGTGACCAAAGACCTTTTCTAAGCTTCTGCTTGTAACAGCAAGAGTGCCTCCCCATTTCAAGACGAGACCAAATGACAATGAGGAAGAAAACCCCTTTCCTAAAACAGCAAACTTTGCTGAATCCTAGGTGAAAAGAAAAAATTGTCAGCAAAATAGCAGTATCTTTGCAATGAAAAAGAGAGAAAGAAAGGGTTTTTGAAATAGGGCGGCTAGAAAATGAAGTAAGAGCTGAGAAAGGAAGTTGAATTAATATAAGAGGAGGGTGTTCACAAAGAAAAGTCGCATTCAATAAGGTGTTACTATATAACTTTATATGTATATATTCATGTGGACCAACTGCGGGTGTCCATCACCTGAAAATTTACCATTTAGAAACAGAGAAAAGAAATGTCCCACCATCCCTGCAAAAGACATTAATTCTCAAGACCTTTGATAGGACACATGTAACTCGGTCTATTGAACTCGTCTCAACTCATTAGCCAATATGAGGAAAAAGAAATGAAGAAAAAGCAGAGGAATATATGCAAGTGTTTAATCCGATCAGACGTGTCACTTTAAGGCTACCGAAGCGACCTATCGTAAAAATCTCGGAAAAATTAATTTTTTTATTAAAACATGTAAAATCTTTAAACAATTTATAAACACAATAGTAAAATTTAATAATACTTAGAAATAAAACAGATTCCAGACACATATATAAAAATAAAATAAAACCTACATGTCCCCTAATCACATGCACCGTACTTCGCAAACATCGTCGGTGGAACTCCTTACTGACGTCGATAATTGCACTGGTTAAATCCTTTTTACCTGAAAATAGTGAGTCAAGAGTGAGCTATGGGAAGCTCAATAATAAAAGATTATCAATTGATGCTACAGGACATGTAGACAAATGGAAAACAATAAAATTTCCTTGTTGACTTAGACGTATACATGTTTTCGGAATAAGCTGCGGTTTCACTGATATTTATTCGAGTAACATGCATGAAGATTTCAGTTCAGAGAAAACATTTAGGGAACCAGATTTAGAAGATTAGAAAAGTGTGTCTAGTGTGTTCCAACTAAAACCGATGAAAAGATATAATTTTTTTTAAAACAATAAATGTTAAAACATGTTTTCAAAACCATAGTGGAACTCTCCAATCGTACACCGTTTTGCAGTTCCCTAAGTACACAACAAAGGGAGTCAGCCTAAGGGAATGCCTTGGGGACCGAGAGCCTACCAAAAAAGGTTACTCGGGGCCACGGAGCCTACCCAAGAAGGATCTCGGGGCCACAAGGCCAACCCAAGAAAGATCTTGGAGCCTAACCAAGGGTCGCCTTAGGTCTGTAAGGATTTACCAGTTGGATCAGTGATGAACCTCCATACTCTATAATCCCACCAATATAAAAATCCAGTAGAAATTAATTTTAACCGTAAACCATAATATATGGATCGTGATCCAGTAGAAGTCTCGTAAACGTGACAATGAAATAAACCATGTAATTGCCCTCCGCCCGTACGCCATATGTAGTCCCATGATTAACCCAAAGAGCATCAACACATCATTACAAGCTAAAATCAATTCAAACATCAACCACAAAACCTTTTGAAAAAAAAAGAAAAAGCTCGAAACCCTTACCCACATTGGCGTCGACGACGGGGCAATTTTCAGACAAGGAGATCAGTCGGGTTAGGAGTGGACGACGATGGGGAACTCAGTGACGACGGCGGTGAGGCGAGCTAACAACCGAGGTGGACGAAATTTGCGTAAAATCAAATGACGGGGGAATAATTCCGACAGGGATTTGAGCTTTGATTCACGACGGAGGGAGGTATTTCACGACGTGATAAAGTTCGGGCTTTGGTCACCGGCCGATGCAGAGTCGAATGGGGGTAGCAATGGTCGGACAATGAGGTTTTGGGGAGGCCGGAGAGGCATTAATTTAAGGGGGAAATTTAGGGATTTGAGTTATGAAATTGGGGATTTTGGGGTTTCATCGATAGGGTAAGTTTATTTTCACTGACCAACAAAATGAGATAATTCGGGTTCAAGTCCTTAAATTTCCCACAATTTCTCTCTTGATACGACTTTAATTAGACACTTAAAATTATTTAAAAAAATTACCCCTAAATTAAGGTGTGACATGTGTGTCATCCTAAAGGTTATCATAGCTATTCGTAGACTAAAGAGTTACACAAATCTATTTGTCAAACTTTAGATTAGGTTATGGTAAATCACGTGGACATGTTAGATATATATATATTGTAACAACCCGAATTTTTTTACAAAAATAATATTTAATTGAAATTGGAGGTTAATTGTAAAAATTGGCAAAAATTGGGGACTAAATTGAAAGATTTTAAAATTTGGAGCTTGTGTTAGAGTTAAAGAAAATTCAGGGACTAAGCCCTGAATTTACCCAATAAAATTAGGTGAATTTTGGTTATATATGTTATATGCGTAGGTGGTTTTCTGCTTCAAAACAGAAAACCACCACCCCAAATTTCCTTTCCCCTACGTCCGTTTCCGACCCAGATCTAGACGCCGTCCGAATTCCGATTGTCGTTTGGAAACCACCGTTGTGTTCATAATCGAGCGAGGAACAAACCCTTCAATTTAATTGAAGTGAAACGCTGCCAAACGTCGGTAATTTACAGTCAAAGTCTTGACATTTTTATTAGCTCTATTACCGAGAAAATCTTAAATTCACCGCCGATCGTTGCTTCATTTACGACACCTCCTGCACCATCGTGTTCCTTGTTTCGTTTCGAGTTCGCCGGTGTCAACCTTGTTCGCTGTCGACGGCGGCGCGTGAGGAGGTGGAGCAGTCAAAGATTCGGCCGAGTTGAAATCGAGCTCTCCGCCGTTCAAAAATTTGAACCGATCGTTGTAAGTATCTCGAAATCGCTCAAAATAATTTTTAGAAATTTTTCCGGGATTTTTAGGGCCCCGGAGGAGGCCTCACGCGCCGTCGCAGGGAGAGTGGACGCTGCTCGAAATCGGTTTGACCGGTTTTCAACCGGTTTTGACCGATTCGAACCGTTTTGACCAGTTTGAACCGGTCTGACCGGTCTGAACCGACCCGAACCGACCGTTGACCCGACCCGCCCCGACCGTTGACCGTTGACTTCCTTTGACCAAAACTTAAAATGGCTTTGACCGAGCATTAAACGATCGTTAATCTTTTCCGAGTATACCTATTCTGATAGTTTTTGACGTCACGAATCCGTTTCTAAAGTCCGTTTCGTCAAATTCGAACCCGAAGGCCTCCAAATAGACGGTCAAAATGGTTGACTTTGACCAAGAATTTGAATTTTTGGAAAGTCATACTTTATGTTTTTCGACGTCCTGATTCCGATTCCGCAATCCGTTTGGCCAAATTCAGACTCGAAATACCCCAAATTGACAGTCAAACCCGAAAAATGCTTATATTCTTAAGAAGTTTAGCTTTGAACAATTAAATAGGATTTGAGACTGATAAATTATTATTGTTTGAAGGTACAAGAGACTCTTCGGATCGTTCGACAGCTCGACCCAGCTCTTCTAGATCAGTTAAACCACGTGTGCTAGTATTTACCCGTTCGAAAACTGTAGCAGAGCGTGGTGAAACCAGCAATCAGTAGATTTGCTATTTGAACCTATTGTTGAGGTATGTTCCCTACTTATTACTGAACTGTTTTATTGGTTTTAATATGTGGTACACCGAATTCATTGGTTATTGTTTTATAGATGCACCAATTTAATGTGACAATTTATGGAATATGGCTGCTATCTAATTTTTGTTTTGAAATGGTATATGATTACCATGTTTTTGGATTTATGGAATTTATATCACGGTGCAATTGAATTTTGGAATTGAATTACGATGGAATAGCTCTGATCAAGCTAAATGGGCCTAATGTGACTCTTGAGGGCCCCAAGATGTTTCATTAAGTCGGCTTTCCTTTGCTGTATGCTTAGGGTAAGCTATATGGACTTATTGACTTGGGCTTAAGGATACAAGCTTCATAGCATATCCTTAAGTCGGCTTTCTTTTTGCTATGTGCATAAAGTAAGCTATATGGAAAATAATTTTGGGAACTACTGATGGTGTACCAGAAAAGGGTTTAAACTATGATTTTCAAAAGTTAAACTCTTTTATGAATTTGTGAGATTTACTGGACTATGATTTGTACCTCTTATGATTTTATGGAAATGTTGGGACACACTGAGCCTAGCTCACCTTTCGAAAATGTTTTTCCCCTTTCAGATACTGTTGGTTAGATACCTCGGTTCGAGCACTTGGAGGATCAACATATCTCTTGAAGTAAATCAGATTGTAATGTTTTTATTTTGCAAGTTGACTTTATTTTGGTGCATGGACCTTATCTTAAAATATCCGATTTTATAATGATGACTCTTTTGTTATTACTATTCGGTTTATTGTGATTTTGAATTTGAAGACATGTTTTAAATTAATTTATTACTTATTGGTACTATATTTATGAGTTAGATTTTGATAGTATAATTTGTTTATAATTTTATGTTATTTATAATGTGATTTTATATTGATGGAATAACGGTTTCGGAAAATGTCTTTAATAATCATAATGTGATCCACTAGACTTAGTCGAGACGCATAGGCCGGGTCTAGGGGGTTACATTGATTGGTATCAGAGCTTTTGGTTTTTAACCCTCGGACTGTGGATGAGTCCACATTGAAAATACAGTTTTGAAATATTTTACAAAACGAGTTACTAAGGCCATGTCACAAAGTTATTAAGATTTTAACTATGTTCGAGACTCCAAGTGCTTATCTAACCTTAAGTTTATCTTCTGTAGTAATCTCAAGATCTATCAAAATGAGTGCTAGACGTGGTCGTCGAACTAGCCGTGGACGAGGTCGAGTGGCTAGATTTGCAGATCCGATTGATGAGATACGAGTAGATCCCCCACCTCCGATAGGTGATCCTGCTCCTACGACCCCAACGGATATGCCACCCACCGATGGTATTGGCATGACTACACCGATCATAGGAGCGACCGATATTGAGTCAGAGTCTACTGGAGTTGCATTGGATGAGAATTTTAGTAGACAGTTTCTGCAGTTAATACAGGGAGCAGTCAGAGCTACTGGTGTTGTATCTGAGGTTCCTATTTCACAGACGTTGATTGCTAATGGAGTTAGAACTTTTGGGGGACAGATTGGTGGAGCTCCTACTGAAGCTGAGGATTGGCTCCAGGATACAGAGAGACGCATGGATCAGTTGGGTTTGGACTCAACTAAGAGATATCTGGGTGCTGT